GGCCGTAAAGGACGAGAGAGAGAGAGAGAGAGAGAGAGAGAGAGAGAGACTGGCGGAGATCGAAGGATCGAGGTATTGATCGTAAGCGGCTTGCCCCCGTGGGGACTTTACCTTTGTGCTCACGACCAGCTATTTGCCGGCCTCGTAAGTTCACACCTTGGCCATAATCGTGGTATCCGGGAAAGCAGGACGCGCTCGGCCATTAGAGCCGCGACATTTACACCGTAAGCGGAGCTCTGCCTCCGTACGCGGCACAAAAGAAACCGTGTTAAATGCTCCTGATGCGATTGTGAGAACTATTTTTAAGAGGTATTTCACAGTGTCGGTAAAAAGAGAGGGAGAGAAAGAGTGAGTACGTGGATCCTTCAACTTTTCAGATCGGACCTCCTTTCGAGCGGCTAGCCTGCGATTGGGCTTTTGTTATCTTTCGAGACAATTCGAGGGAATTGTCGTTATTAATTAGAAGCAACAGCTGGAGAGGATATTGCAACAATGAACAGAGAGGCAAAGAAGTTCCTTTGGATTTGATAGACCGAGATTGAGTATTCGTGCGATGCGATTGCACGTTGAGTTTGGAGGCAGGTAGCGAATCGTAATTGGACAAAGTTCGTCACTTTCGGATGCGAATTAGTCACTACAATTAGAAATTAATAGATGTTATAAAAGATTTACTCGGCGCCGATACAGCTGGTGCAGTTAGAAAAGATAAGTGAATGTGAATTGGAAAGTATGTAATACAGGTTTGTATCGAAATGTTTGAAATGTTTGGAAAAATAGAAAAAAAAAAGAAAAAAAAAATGAAACACCGATGGAACAACCGATGGGATGCGAGAAATACGAAATATCAGAATTAAAAATTTACCATCCTCCTCAGACAAACCGAACGAATATTAACAAACAATGTATATCGTAAACTCGATATTGCGAACCACAGCGAACAAAAAAAAAAACAATATCCACTCTGCTCTAAAAGCCGCGTAACTTCGTTCCAACATTCTCTCATCATCGCTTACGCATTAAATTCATATCATGGATATCATGGAAACTACGTCCATCACACGCGGCACTGATTTCTCTCTCTCTCTCTCTCTCTCGTTACGAACTTTCACGAGGGAAAAACGCCATTTGTAATAGCAATAAGCAACTATGGGACCCCTGATTTGCCGTTTAAATCCGCGCTAGATCCGTAGGAGGGCCGGTGAAACGTTGGCACGGGAAAAAAGTCTGTTTTCTTTGCTATCATGGCGTTCGCGCCCATAAATGCGTAACGTACGCGCTTAACACGCGCGTGTGCACGCGTGTAGTAAGTACTGCGAGCCTATCTCTCTCTATCTTTCTCTATCCTTCCTGCTCTCTCTTTCACGGGGGACTCCATAATGTAAGTTCATCGCGAGCGCGCTGATGCGTGTGTAATCCCGTGGTGCTTACCGATACCATCGTGGGTTTTATTTTCATTATTCATTTGTTCGGGCCCGTTCCCCATGGACGGCCGGGAAGCTTACACGCGTAACCCCGTGTTTCTATGTTGGTTTAATCAGATAAAACCCCGGAACGCCAAAAATCGCCGCACACTAAACCAGCAGCCCCTAGAGCTACGTCCTACTCTTTTCTTCCGTTCGCCAAAAAGGTGACCAGCCCTGATTTTCGACCCTCGACACCCGTGTCTTGTCGCGTTCTCGCTTTTGTCGATCGACTATCGTTCTCCCATCGACGAACGTTCTCCTAACGTCCATCGTTTCCTCTCCAACACACATTTCTGCTTCACTTTCGAACGATATTCGTTTCAATTTTTGTCCTTTTTTTTTTTTTGTTACGAATATTTGTCATTCGAATTTTATTGGAAGTTGTCAGAATTAAAAAAAGATCGCTTTGGTATTTTTTTATTTGGTATGGAGAGTTAGATAGAATTAGTATAGGGAAGTATATAATTTAAGGTAGATTGTCGATGTGAACGCGTATTATGCGAGTGCCATTGAGAGAATTTTAATTAGATCACGGAAGTAATATTCATTTCGTCGTGGTGCGGCTGTTAAAAATCTAACGACTGAAAACTCCGCGGAAAGCGAAGGCGATTAATCATATAGCACAGAACTCATAATTCTTCTTCTGTCGTACGTTTCGCAGTCTTACGTCTACACGTTCGCTTATCTTGTTTGCAATCCAATCGTTTATGATTGATGAAGTCAAAGAAGAAGTATCGCGCGCAAATGAACACGCGTGTCCGTGTGTTCGTCCAACGAAATGAGCGCAAAGCCTCTCAGGCATTGAACTTCTGAAAACTTTGAAAATTTCTCGCAGACATTCGCGAGAAACAAGCGGAGCGATCGTCGATTCGAGAATTTTCGAGCAGGTCCTCGAATCTTTCGCGAATTGATCCAAATGACAGAAACGGAATAAAAAGAAAAGAGAAAAGAAAAAAAGACGAATAAAAACGAAATTACGCCGACGGGGAGAGATCGGGGATCTCTCTGGTTGGTTTCGAAGCTGCGCCGGCTTCGAAGCCGTCGCGGGCAGCTCCTTTTTTTCCGCGTTTCCGGCGGCCTCGGGCCGCTTCAAACAGTAGGCGGAATGTCGGAGGAAACGAGAGGGAGGCAGGCGGGAAACGAGAGGAGAAAGGAAACGGGGCGAACTATCGGAGGTACGGTAATTAGCAGGTCAGCTTAGTTAATGCAAGAGCACCGGCTTAACGAATCGTAATGGAAAGTGTGATATTTCGAAAATAACGTTCCACCGAGTGCTAAGTAAGCCGTGTACGCGTTTGATTAACCTTCTATATACATCCGAGATTCGATGTCGAATAAAATGAAAATCGAAGGAACCGTTTAATCCCTCTCCGATCGATCGGCCGCGTCCCCCTTTTCCTTCCTCTGAATTTATCCTCTCTTTGCCATCCACCTTAACACCGTGACACCGTATGCTCGTTCTCAGACGCCTCTGCTTCATTCAATCCAGTGTTTTGTTTATTGTCATTCTTGATCAATTCGAACAGGTGACCAAGTTTTAAACGACAAGTACGAACTGTGTGAACCGTTTCGCTGAAAATTTAATGAAAAATTGCAAAACATTATTGACACGATTACAGTGATGTACGAAAAGATCTAGAAAGATTTCTACCATTTCTACCAATATATCATAAATACATATTATTTTATATATGGTTAGCAACTATTGTATCATAAATATGTATTATCGCCTGTGTATCCATAGTAATATATATTTATATCGTAAATAATTTTAAAATAGTAAATATTTATATTATAAGTAGAAATTTGAACTGACAGCAATAAACGGGATTGTAATTGAACTTGAAGGCAAGTTAACATATAACATGGATAAGAAATCTAGTTTCGAAGAAAACAATACAACCTCCAGTATCTCCCAAAATTTTCAAACTTTCTTTATCAACGACTCCGTCTAACCAATTTTGTTCTCCTTTCCCCCTTCCTCTCTCCCGTTTCCTCTTCCTTTTTTCCTCTCTTTTTTCCATCGAAAATATCGGCAGGCCTATCGAGGCGTCTTAAGGGAGGATCTCGTATTTACTTGGCCGGAAACACGATATTCTCGATAGTCGGGGACCACGTGTTTCACCGTTGACCGTTAAAATTCGCTTCTCCGCGCTGCTCGCGACGTGCCGTGCTGCTCCAAACGCTGGTAGGCGGTGTATTATTTTTCCGCTGGCTCGCCAAATTGGCTCGCACGGATTCGATCTCGAATTACGGACACTCGATATCGCCGCGTAAAACTTGCAGCATCCTCGTCCGGTCGTGGCCATCTCGCTCCGGAATATCCAAAA